ATAGTCAAACAATAGTGATTGCAAAAAATTGATTGAAAGTGTTCAATTTAATTAAAAAAATGCAAATCCAACTAACCATATGATATCATTTTTACCCATAAGGTTGGTAAAAATATTAAAGATTACTAAAAACTTGTGTTGGCAAGGGTATAGGGAACAAGCACCTGACGGAAGAATAAATTAGTATAAGAATTTTTGGAAGCCAATTTGGTTAATGTATCAAAAATGTTAATACAGGTTCACATGGATTCAACATTTCTACTCTTACACAGAGTTAGAAAGTTATTCTATATTCTATAGTTATAATCCTATAGGAAGACAAGGATTTTTAAAAATGATATTCGCCGCTTCATTGCTTATAATAGCAAGAACAGCAACAATAGAGATGCTTAGACAAATTAGATAAATAATGGCACATATGAGCAATGAACTACTCAGCCATTAAAAAGAATGAAGTGATTGAAGAAGAGCCAATAGATATATTTAAGTAATAATTCTATTTTTAAAGGGAAGATAACAGTATGCTGTTTACATTTCAAAGGACCTTTATATACCATTAATTTCATTTTTTTTTTGCCTTTGGAAAAATACAATAAATACGTGATAGTTAATATATCTGGAGAAAAAAGTGGTGGGGGAAGACCGTGGAAGTGGGTAACAGAGATGTTGTTTAATGTTGACATTTCTGTACTGTTACCTTTTCAAGAATCTTATGCATGTATTCTGTTTATGTTAACTGAGATTCTCTGGGTGCTGGGATAATTGGTAATATTTTTGTTTTCTTCCATATCATTCACTTTTCTGTTTTAAACAAACAAAGACAATTTTTATATAAATATAAGTGACAAATCACCAGCTTTTTTTTAAAATGAAAATACGGGGTAACCAATATTGGATTGTGCATTATATTGTTTTCCAGTTAATTATTGCATACCAGGGCCAACATTATTAACTTATGAACAACAATTTCTGAACTCAAAAGCTACAGAATCTACTCCAGGAATGGTTTTTCTACTTAATCCCCAGTTAATTACCTTAAAATGAGATTGGAACCATTCTCTCCAGATTGAGAGTGCTGAGATAAAGAGTGAAACCAAAAAGATACAAAAATTGATTTGAAGGAAGATTAAAGTGTAAAGGAGAGGATATAGTAGGAAGATTAATTTGGGAATCAGAATTATCTCTGTAATAATGAAGACTGGCTTAATAAGGCTTTGCTACATAGTTGATTTTTCAAAGAGAATGATTGTAGGAAAGAAACCAGGCTAGTTACCCAGCAGAATAAAACTAGCACCTGATGAACTTGGATTGTATTTCTAATAATGGCATTAAGGCTTTTAGCAAACATCATCTCAATTTTCCTATTTTGGGAAAAGTGAAAATGTTGTCTTCTCATGGTTCTTATTTTAAAGTATTCTGTGAATAATAAAACCTCCTTCTCCCAGTTATGCTCTGGGACACTGCTTGTAATTTATAGTACATTAGTTGCCCTCCCTTAATTCTTTGTGCATGTTATTCTCTTTGCATAGAAATATTTCCCCTTAGTTGTTTTATTTGACTATACCTATAATCTTTCTTCACTCCACCAAAAATATCCCTCCTCTGTGAAGTCTTCCCTGACTCCAGACAGAAGTAGATTGTTTTTCCAATGGCATTTCATATATACCTATGTTATAGTAATTATTTTATCACAATCTAACTTCTTTTCAATATCTCCAGCCCCTCTATGTGTTAGGCTGCTGTAAAACACAGACATGACCTTTCAATAAACCTGCACAAATGTATGCACAAATAATGGAAGGAATAATAAAATGAACAAATAAATTGCATGCAATGGATGCTTAGCTTTTCCAGGCTAGGGTAATAATCACCATTCATTCACTCACTTATTTAAAAATATATATTAAGGATCTAGAATGGATCAGGCACTGTACTGGTAACTGGAATAGAGCAGTACATAAAGTAGAAAATGTTTTGCCTTATTAGAGCTTGAACCTTGCAGAAAATAGAAATGTGGAACAGTGAACACACTCATAAGTGAAGGGCAACAGGAGCAATGAAAGAAGAGTCCTTAAGTATTAGGAACAAGCCAATGGCTAACTTAGTCTGCTAGAGTCAGAGAGGTATCCCAGCAGAAGTGATGTGTTATTAGAAAGAAGAAGGATGTTAGGGGTAAGAACTGGAGAAGGGAGAAGGAGTTCCAAGGCCAGAAGAAAGAAAAGCATGGGGTGTATGAAGCAAAGAAATTGAACATAAATCCACTAAAAGGATATTCAAGTGGCTAAAGTCATATAAAAATGTGCATGGCTTCATTAATCGTTAGTAAGGTGACACTCACTTAAAAATGACAAGGTTATGTTTTTTATACCACTACATGCCTATCAGAATGGCTGAAATGAAAAAAAGAGACAATACTACTTGTTGACAAAGATAAAGCATCATATACTGCTGCGGGAAGATGAATTGGTATGAGCACTTTGGAATTGTTTGGCACTATTCACTACATCTGAACATACGCATACCTAGGACTGAGAAATTCCACCTAGGTATTAGAGAAGGAAGTGTTTATGTCTCGCCAAATCATGGACAAGAGTATTTATAGCAGCACTGTTTGTGATGGCTAAAAATTGCAAACAAACCAAATATCCATCACCAGTAAAATTGGATTAAACATTCATGGTATATTCATGCAATGGAATAATACACTGCTATTAAAATAGGCAAACTAAACAGCATGCAACAGTACAGATGAATCTTGAATTTTGTAACATAATGTTGAGTGGAAGAAGTTAGCCACGGAGTTAAATGTACAGCAGTTCAAAAGCAGATAAAACTAATGTAGGTATTGGAAGTCACGAGAGTGGTTACCTATAGGGCAGTGAGGAAAATGACTGGAAGCATGGTGGGAACTTCTGGGGAAAAGTTATTCTATTTCTTGACATGGATACTAATTATACAGGTATACTCACTGTGTGAAAAGTAATCTAGCTATAAACTTGTGCTTTTCACTATGTATTTCTGTGTTAAGATTGTTAACATTGTTAAGGGGAAAAAAATTTTTCAGGACTGTCAAGATAACTCAGGAGCCACATTAAGAAGATCCCAGACCAAAAATGAGCAATTTAAAAACAAAAATAATAAGAATCATAGTGGATTAAAACACACTGAATCAATGAAAATCTCTAAGTTCTTAATGATACTCAAATATGAGAAGTATTGAAAAATCATACATGTCACTCTGTGTTAAAAGAATAACCATACTTCCTTACTTTCCTAGGAAAACCCTGAGTTCATTACAAATGGTATCCACTTTTACTTTCAAGTTGTCCCTGTTTGGATGATAAATTACATATTATCTCATTAATAAACCAGCTCTTTTACTTGTATTAGTGAATTGGTAATAAAGGGAAAGAACTGAGCATTTATCTTGCCTTTTCAGGGTAATTAAAAGGTCTCCCATGAGGAGACTTAAGTCTTATTTTACAGAAGAATTTCTACTACAGATGTAGGCAAAAAAGAAGTAGAAAAATTATCTTTCTACAAACCTTAACCATTGTATTGGCTCAGATAAGGATTACCAATTTTTAAAAGTATAATTTTAAAATAATTATTACGGATGCTGGAGAATAGGATATTCGAGAGTTTCTGAAATACTACCACAATAATCAGGTATTTTCTGTCACTAAAGAAAAAAGATATATACCTGAAGAATGGAGGGACCAGATTGTCATCACTGTGATGCAGTGAACAATTGTAGCATAATGAAGGCTCAGTCAGTCAGATAGTAAGTCTCCAAATATGTATCACATCACCTATGGTGTATTTTAGAAACTAACTCGATTCCATTAAGGCTTTAGATTTTAAGTTCAATTTACTGGAAAATAAGGTATAGGGAAACCAGCTAAATTATATCATCAGAAAAATACAGAAGGTGAGACAAACAGTAGGAAAACTGGTTCAGTTTTTTTTTTTTTAACAAGTCAGGGTCAGTGAAAAAAAAAATGTATCTTGATTAAAAGAGACTTAAGGGACATAACAGCCAGAGGAAAAGCAGACCGCAGGCTGGACAAAGCAGCTGTATACCTCATTTCGAAAAACTTGGGGAGATTTAAATATGAACTAGTATTAGGTAAGATGAAAATTCATTGCTATGAAAAGGCAGAGATAGTTAATAGAGAAAAAGGTAGATTACAAAACAAGACACATAGGATGATCCTTAATAAAGAAATAAATGGATGTGTGAGTGTCTTTGTGTATGTGCATAAATACGGAATATCTGGAAAGATTGCAGATGTTCCATAAGATTTTAAGAGTGGTGGTGCTCTGGGTGGAGAGAATATGACAACATGTAAATAAGATTTATTTTTGGTTGTCTGTGTTTTCCATCTTTCTACAATGCACATATTCAACTTTTATAATAACAAAAGGCTAATTTCAATTAAAAATGTGATATGAGAAATTAATAGTAAATAGGTAAATGTCCTTTTATAAATTTTATTTTCTCTTATTGCAATTAACAGGACATGACTACTACATTTCAGTACCCAGAATTTAGTGAGTTATTTTAATGTTTCAGCCTAATCTTATGTGTGTATCTTTTGGGTTTATATATATATTTTTTCTTTCTCAGCATGTTGAGCCACCACTTCAATTATTACTTTTTTATTATTTAGTATCTGTTTTGTTCACTAGTTGCTATACAAAATGTATTCTTGTTCTGCTTTATTTTGGGATGCTTCATTATAGTGGATTAGGAATAAACACTCCCAAGGAAATTAAAAGCCAAATTCTAATATGCAAAATGTTTTTATTGAGAAAAAAATCAAAATATTCATAGATGTCAACTATCACCACAATCCTCTGAAATATTTTCTGATACAAATGAAATTTTTAAGGAGGGAAAAATTTGTATCTCTAGAATCTAACAAATTATTTAATTTTACCCTGCTCTTCTCCTGAAGGTTTTCAAGAGACTTATTAGAAGATATGAAACATGACAATGTATCATAAACAAAAGTGGGAATAAATATTTATAAAAAATGGGTTTGAGAAAAAACAAAGTAAGTTTTAAAATTCATGGAAATAATACCTAGGCAACTAGAAAACATGATTAATAAATAATTCTTCTAAATGTCAATTACACAGTTAATATCAATCAAATAAAAGTGAATTAATTGCTATTAATCCTAAAATCAGATTAAAATTTCTCCTGAGAATGCTGGTAAAGAGATAACCATGGGAAGTCATGAACACCATTCCCAACAATATAAATTAGGTATGAGGCTTTCATCATCTCATTTTTACACTGTACTTTTTCACACTTAACTTTTAAAATTTGAAACACATCTTTTGGGGTCTTCACAAAATTGCAACAAAATTTCGTTTTTTCCAAATAACTAATTTCTACTTCAGTTGATAGTCTCTTAAGATATTACAGGGTATTAATGGAAGGATATTATTTACAAGAAATCAGAAAACAGAGATTAAGTTCTATAACTTAAAAAAAACTCTATTTAAAAAATTCAAGATGATTACATTATGAATAAAATCCCATTTGCAATCATTCACTGATTTAAGTGTGTATATAATTCTATTTCTTTCAAAATAGCATATATTTTGTGAGGAAAATTGATATTTTTCAGTAGAGAATCATGAGCCTTTATTTATTCCAATAAGCCACATTTGTTAAATTTTATCATATGTCAGATATTTCATGGGTGCTGAGGATCCAGTGGTGAGAAGACACCTAAATTGGTGAATTTTAATGTAGTGCACTAGGGAAACAATGGCCATTTGCATGTCTGATCAATAAATGAGCTAACTTCCTGGCTAAGCTATTACTGCTGCTGTCTAATCCCTTGGCAAATTGTAGTCAAACTTGTAGTAGTGATAGCTGAAAACACAAAGAGTGAACCAAAAGCAAGGCAAAAAGCAAAGAGATTCTCAATGCCATCGAAGATTTGCATCTCTGACCTCTGTTGAAGGTTGCATTCTGTTCTTAAAGTGTCATTTTATTTTAATATCATCATGCTACAATCTCTAATAACAATATAGAAATCACAACCAAACGTTTTTTATTCTAGCAACCTTATCTTAAAATACAGGGAAAATGTGTATATGTATATGTGAGAGATGGGGGGTGGGTAGAAATAATGAGGAAGATAAATGAAAGTAACAGAAAAGGAGAAGTGATAGGAGAAGGAAACTTTTTCATTAAGCTGAGCAATTAATTTAGTTGAATATGAAGTCTAAATAATTGTTCCTGAACTGACCTGCTATTTTATTAACCTGAACATTGTTGATTGATTAGTTAAATAACATATAAACACAGACTGGTATATAACACTTTACACCCTTGTGTCTACAGCATACATTTTGGCAGTCTCTGTCCGAGGGGCAACATATGACTTGGCCATGGAAACAGTTGCAGTTGAATAGGCCTTCCTCATGGAATAAGGATAGTTCCTCTCAGGTCCAACATCTGTTTGAAAGAGATAAATTTAGAGGCATCAAAATAATTGTGGCTCAGTAAACTTTGGAAAAAAAATATCATTTTATATTTTTTCCAAAAAAAGAGGCCAAAATATATTCTAAAAAGAAATCATCTAAGAAGAACCCTAGAAGAAAATCTAAGATCTTCATCCTGAAAGTTATTTTTAGGTTTAAAATTCAGCTAAGTAATTTCTGTATTTTTTAAATTCTGATGAGGAGAGAACTTTTCTTAGTCTTTTAAAAGACATTTTTAGAAACCCAATAGAAATACATTACATGCTTTAATAACAAATTTTTAATTTGGCTCTGAGTCTATTTCTCTGTTTAACTCTAGATACAAATTTAGTAGATTCGGTGAAGTAATATATACAAGATTTGACACATCATCAAAATGACTATTAAATATTTGGACATTGGACACACTTGTAGCTGTGGGATTTTTGTTTTTTTCCAGCAAATATGCCACTAATTGGGTAATAAGTCTCAAGTATTGCAAATTAGTTGTCCTTGAACAACTGAAATGTTGAATGGTATAGGTAGGGATTGAGTAAGCAACATTATTTGGGGCTGGTGAGACGTGCGTGCATTGGGTTGGGAAGACTGATTCTGGTGGTGGAAAAAGGTGCTGTTTTATTTTGTTCTTACCTTTCAAGAGATATAAACAGCATGTGAGGACAGCACCTGCCAAAAAACAACCTAGGGACCCAGCCATTCCAAGCCAACAGGACCAGCCAAATTTATATTGGATGCCAAGAAATATATTGTGCAAAACCAGAGAAGAACGTTCCACGTAAACATCAGCAGCATACCACACTGAGCCAATGATTCCTGGGGCACCTGAAATAAAGCAAAGTTGCTAAAAATAATGTAGGCCTTTTGTAAATTTAAATTCTAAGGAGATCTACCTGCTACCCAAACTGGGTGGCATCATTTAGAGATAATAATTATATTACGATTCACAACTCAAATTTTGAATACCTTTTCTAAGTCTTCCTTCCATCTTCTGTTTTCTATTTCTTCCAAATTACATATCAGTTTATATACAAAGAGAATACAAAAATTAAATAGTATAGTGCTCTTCTCTATATAAACCTAAAATGGTCCCTCTGGTTTTAATTTTCCTATCTTTCCAATGCTATTTTAGCGATGTATAAGAGAAAATGTTAAAAACAAATGAAAAAAAGAAGGAACATAAAAGTGAAGACAAATAATACAGAACATAAGTTCACTTGCTATTGATCTTTTTCATTGAAAGTACATATCTTTAATTTAACAATTTTCAATTGTTCCCTCAGACTCACAATTAAAGCTATGTCAGCTGCTTACTCAGCACCCATAAGGAAACTATGTTTTAAATGTAGTTCTCAAGACTAATAAATCAAGAACTCCATTTATTCATCTGCTTTTGAAGTAGAGATAATATGATCTGTTTATTGTTACATTTATGATCAGATAGGTTGGTACATGAGAAAAGATTAACATAGGGCTTCCCACAATTTACTTCATTGCAAAAGGAATTGGTGAAGGTGGGAACAGGTAAGGGGGTGGCTGCCTCGGGCTTACTTTAGGATTTAAACAAAAAATATATTGTTTCAAAAATTTAAAGCATTACATAACTTTTTAAGTGGTTAAAAAATAGTGTGAAGACTTCAGTAAACCTTTATCTGGGATATTAACAAAAGGTTACTCATCTGATTCCAAAGCTAAAGAATATAAGACCGGTGGCTGTGCTCTTTGTTTCTTCAATCTAGAAAAGCAAGTCACACATGATCCTAAAAGGAACTGCTTCTGAACGGTATCCTTCACCTTCATCTCAAGACCTTAGACGAGAATCTTCACCCCTGTCGCTAGAGCAAACTAGTACCTGCGATCAGTAACATGATCCCAGCAACAAAGCAGATGCGCACTTTGATGTATGGCTCATCGGGGAGGAATTTCACGCAGTCAAGACCAAGGAGCAGAGTGATAAATCCAAATCCAGCCAGAATATCTGCGGTAATCATTAACGCCCGAGTTACCACCAGCTTCACTGGAAAATCAGGGCATGTGGTTACAGCACAGTCAGAGGAAGGAAAAGTTAATTCAACATAAATAAATAAATAAACAAACAAACAAATAAATAAACCACAACACACACTTAACATTTGCCCACTGAAAGAATGAGACTTTAAATCTGCATGAACTTGGAAATGAATACCCTTAAATTTTTCATAAAATTTTTCAGTAAATCAACATTTACTGCTGAGTCTTGTTGGCTTCCTAGCAAAATGCCTGGCATCTAGTGGGGACTAAATAAATGTTTCCCTTTTTGCCTCCTGTTCTGGAATCAGCCTCATTCACAAGTATTATAGCTAACTGTTGAATTGAAAGTAGAGTATCCGTTCTGCACAAGTTACCTAATAAATATTCAATAAAAATGATCATTGCATTCATTTGAAGCTTTATTGAAGAAAAATGTTAAAATAATGGGTTAAAATTTGGTATGGGGAGCAGGATAAAATACTTCAAGATGTGCTAATCCAGGCCGGTGGGAGCCATCAAACGATATTTAGAAGGAGAAGGAGCCTCTGTTATGAAGCAGAAGACTATTTCTGGAAGCCAGACCATACTCTTGTATCCCACAGGTCATGAACCTACTTGGCCAATACTTCATATTAACTCCTCCATGTTGCATTGTTAACTGGCCATTAAAGCTATAGCCAATGAAAATGTATGGTAGAAAAGTCAGGGAAGAGAAGAGCAGGTAAATAGATCAGTTAAACAGAAGTGAAATAAGATCAGTCACCTTCTACAATGAGAGTATCCCAACTGTGAAAGCCTCCTGAACTTGAGTCCCAGTTACACTAAATTAAAAATAGGGAAATTTTGCCACAAATGGAAGGTTAATTACCTGAAGTCAGAACTACTACGGTTTTAGCTGGCTAATGGAGAGGAGTAATAAAATGTGTTCCTTTGATGAAATGGTAATAATGTATTATTTTCATAGTGATTTGGAGTTTCCTTGTATTTTAAATAACTTTTTCCTAGAGCAAGATAACTCAGGGCCTATTTAGAAGTAGGTTGTTTGTAAAAATGTGGCCTAGTTTCCTTATTTAAAATAAAAAATATTTTATGGTCCCTCTGTGACAGGAAATCAATGCATAAAAATCAGATTCTACCTTATTATTAGGTGAGTATTTAAGATCTCAAAAAATTATGTCAAAAAATTTAGGTTCAAATTTCAAATGTAGGCCAAATTTAAGGAATTCAGGAAAGAGAAAAAATATGAAACTCATTAAGTGATAACAGTTTTTAAAGTTTCAACAGATATTCTTGATCTCAAATAGTACAAACAAGTGGGCCTCCTACTCAGCCCCCAGGCCAAGCAGGTGCACATTTGGAGTGCCTTCCTTGAAACTGTCTAAATTCACTTTGGGAACCTGAGAACAACAGGGCCATGATTTCTATCTGGATGGGGTGTCCTGAAATCACTGCAGCCCTGGTCTGCTCTCAGACCCTTCATCTCCCACGCAGCATAATTCCAGCATTCCGGGGAGTTCCAGGACTCAGGCCTGGGGTGTCACCCAGGGGCTGCCTGCCTAGCCCAGTTCCCAGAGGGCAGCTCTGCAAGCAGGTTACTAATGCTGGCCAGCCAGGGATTTTTGGGGGGAATTGTTTGAGATTTGGTTGCCTGAATAATGTTAAATACTTTGCGGCGAGTAACTCAAAGTAACTATATCAAGAAACAATTTTATCTGGGTTCATATGTCTTAGATATACAGGGCAATGGAAAAAGGTAATCTAATTGTGATTGCATAAAAGATCTCAAAGGATGAAATCTTACTCTTCTTTCACAGGTACCATACTAACTGAAAGGGTACAGTTATATTTAAAATACATTTTCATCTCTGTTGTCTTTATGCATATGGTAGAATTTTTTAAAGAAATGCAATGGATCTTTAGGATATTATTTGAAATTAATAGATAAGCATATATCAAAAGAAAAATGTGAAATAGCATAGGCAAAAGATACAAACATTAAAATACAAACAGTAGTTTTCTCTGTACAGTAGGCTTGTGAGTGATTTTATTTTCTTCTTGCATAAATATACAAAACAGTATTTAAAAGTGTGAAATATTTCATGTTTCCTTTCTCTTCTCAATTCTAACCATAAGCACTGCATTCCCAGACAGGCTTGTGTTCTTCCACATGAACTTCCATTCCTATCAATCAAATTATGCTTCTTTGTAGATAGAACTAGGTTGGTACAAGGAGAGAAAAAGAGAATTAAGAGGACTTTTTTAAAAAATTAAACAAAGGCCTTATGAATTATGTTAAAAAATGTTCTAGGCCCTCAAAACCTAAATGGCAAAGAAAGATATTCTAGAGCACTGCTCTATTTAAGTGTTTTCCCAGGACTGAAATAGCTATCCAGGGGAAGAGTCACATTCCAAAGGTTTATTTTTCTTTTATCTTGAGAAAAGAAGTTGTCATGTTATAACATCACCCATCATTCTCTTTGAAAAAGACTGAAAACCAGTTTGCTTTAATAACAGCACTCGTATTTCTCAGCATGATTGAATGTTCAAAATAAATAAGTGATATGAAGACCTGAGAATCAATAGTAATATTTTTAAATCTATGAAATCTCTTTATTCATAGAAACATGGGCCTTGCTAATTATATTTTAAGGAGGATGAAGAAGGTGGCTTTACTATTCTTGCTAATAATGTGTCACATACATTGATTTTTTTTCCATTCACTGATCCTATAGTCTGAGTATCTCTCTTTGTGTGGGTATCTCTTGATCTATTTTTCTGTCTCTGACTCTGCCCCTATATCTCTAACTTCTTTCTTTCTTAGCCAATCTTCCCTTGAAATACTGTAAGCTTTCTCTTTGACCTAAGTTAAAGCTAAATAATATCTCTGTAAATCTTTTCATCGAATCCATTAATTGTAATCATACAATCACAGCACCCTGAAGAATTAAGTTCAGTTTAAAAAGTGTTTACTCTAAGCCTGCTGTGTAGAAGGCCCCATGCCAGGCCCTTTGGGGGACAGCAGAGATGAGTAAGATAATATTTTTACCATAAAGGAATCTATAAATACATGGTAAAAGAAAAAATTTGTTCAAAATGTTTCAAGTAATATTTCAGAAATAAGCTAAATTTCTAATGAAAATATTTAAAACTGGGTAGAACCTTAACATAGTACTGTAGAAAACAAAAACACACACCAATTTTCTTTGGTATTTCCTCCCTGGCAAGGGGGATGGCTAAAGCATACGTACAGGGGTGTTCGGCAAGTATAGAATCGTACTCATCACAGGTGCGAATCCCATCAAAAGCATTTGTGACACATTCCCACCAGAGGCCTCGGCATTTTGTGCTCACCTAGATGTTGGAGAAGACACCGTGTGAAACAACTCATGCACACATACTTCGGTTCTCCTTGATCAAAGGAAGAACTTGGCTGTTGTGCTTGATAACAAAGTACAGTGGTTACAATTGTGATCAGAATTTCATTTACAACAAACACAGTGCATATTAGAGTATTTTCCCTTAATAACTAGCAATTAGAGGCTTTCCACACCAGGAAATGAATTTACTTTCTGATTTGGGGATGGGATGGAATAAGTCATGCCTAAAATGGATTAAATCAGAATTAAATAAATGCAGATGCCTATGACTGGTTCCATCATCAAGTCACAGTTTAACATGGACACAATTCATTGCAGTTCCCTGGGTTGACATTTACTCACCAAAAAAGCAAATAAATAAAATAAAATAAAATAACAATAACACCTATAACAACAGATGATAACTGTTGACATGGTGAGTCTATTAGAAATATACATTAATTTTTCTTCATCATAAACACTGAGTTCCATGAAGAAAGGTGTTATTATGCATGAGGTTCATAAATTAAAAATACTTACCAAAGAAAGCTATACATGAAGACAACAATAAATGAAATATAAAGACCCCTTGACTTCCTTGTCACTGCTGCACTGACAGGCTGCAAGTGCTTAAGCTATGAGATGGATATAAACACACTGAGCATTAATTTCATGAAATCTGGCAGCTGTAAACCACTTTTACTTAGAAATGCTGTGCCGATGATTCTCAGTGTCCACTTAGAGCTAAGTGGTACCAGTGCCCTGAGCCTCCCTATACTTTATCTATAAGCTGTAAATCACAATAGATTTCTTAGAATTGTAAACATGCCAACATAAAATAGTTTCAACTATTCTTGACAGAACTCATGAATATAGAACAGAGCTAATGTGATTGTGTTTTTTAATTCAATTACAGATTCACATTAGCTTGGAAATCTGGGAATAGTTTAAGATTATCTTGGATTTAACCACAAGAATCATCTTAGAGAATGAAAATGAATTTTTCCTTAAAGAAAGAATCAATAACAGAGCAGAGCGGGAAAAGAAATGGCCAAGGTAGGGAAACAGAGTTGGTGTGCAGAAGACATGAGGGAACATAAACGACTTTGATTTGCATAAGAAAATCATATTAGGAATTACTTGCACTGTGGAACTCTGCCCCACATTCTGTTTTGGAGTTTGGAGCTGTGTTGTGTGCCAAAAAAAAAACTCTACTACTTGAAACTCCACCACATTTTTGGATGTTAAACTTCTGCTATTACTTTAAATGTGAAATGCTTGTAATTGGTAACAATTAATAATTCTAGATTGAATTTGTACTATGAAGCAGTTACTAAGCAAGCATGTTATTATCTCATTTAGTCCTTAAAGGGTACTGTGAGATATTGTTATTATCATTAATCTCTATTTTACAAAGAAGGAAAATGAGGCCCCGGAAAGTTAAGTGATAACCATAAGAAAGCATAGATAATAAATGGAGGATCTAGGACTCAAACAGTATGCTTTTAAGCACTGCAGTACACTTAAAATTTTTTATATTTCCTAATCCATTTCAGGCTAGAGTACTCTACAACTGGAAATTAGAAGATAGTTTTGGGTGAAGTAGTAGGCCCAATTTTTAATCTCATCCTGTGGCTATTATTCTATGAAATGTCACTTTGGCTTGCTATCTAAGCTTAAATTTGGAAGCAATGTTTCAGAATTTTGGAATATTATCTGATCTGAGGGGATACAAAGACCAGACATTTAAGAAAGAAAATCCATCTTGTAAAATTTAACACATCAATTTCAAAAAAGAATATGAACATCTAGATTTACATATGTATGAAATTTAAGCTATAGTTGAAAATACATAGACTTTACATCTAAGTTGACACTCTTATCAGCTATGTTGTATCCTTGGGCAAGATCTCACTTATTTTTGAGCCTCAGTCTCCTTATTTGAATAAAGGAGATAATGCTAGGGTGGTTTATAAGAATTAAAAATCACAAACACACACAATATAAATAATTTCCTTAATTAGTGATAACATTAGTAAAGTACATAGATATCATAATAACCTGAATAGTGACTGTGTTCAGCATTACTGACTAAACATAATGAAAGTGGAGAAAGGCAGATATAATGGGTGGAATAGTGGCCCCCAAAAGATATGCTTACATCCTAATTCCCCAGAACTGTGAATGGAATTTTATTTGAAAAGAGGAACTACAGATGTAGTTAAGTAACTTGAGATAAGGGGATCATCTTAGAGTACCAACGGTGGCCCTAAACCCAATGACAAGTGTCTGTATGAGAGACACACAGAGGAGACACACAGACAGAAGAGAAGGCAGCAGTGTGACCACAGAAGCAGAGAGGGGAGTGAAGTGGCTGCAAGTCAAGGAATGCCCACAGCCAAGAGGTGAGGAATGGATTCTTCCCTAGAGTTTTTAGAGGCAGTGCAGCCCTGCTCACACCTTCATTTCAAACTTCTGGCCTCCAGAACTGTGAGATAATACATTTCTATTGTGGTAAGTCACCAAATTGTGGTAATTTGCTATGGCAGCCTTTGGAAGCGAGTAAGTAGAGGCGATTAGTACTCAACTATTACTGTAACAGAAAACAAGCCTTCTCATAGCCTATTGCCCTTCAGTCTCTCAATGAACACACTGGATCCAGTTTATTCCAACTTGAGCTAGGTTATATGAATTTGTAGTCACTGTTCTGTAATCAGACTCTGACTGTCTACAATTTTCTCCTGTTATTCGGTCACAACAGCAAACTCATGAACCCAGTACAGTCATTCTTACTACCTATGAGGTTATTCAGAAAGTGACTTGAGTTAAATTTGTGAGAATACTTATTTACACCAAAAAGAGTATTTCATTCTTGCCAAAATAATCCAGCAGTGGTGTCATTTTCAAGGCTATTGATCATTTACCTGCAATGACCATATTTAGAAAAGCAATGAGCTCATTAGAGGAAACAAGGAATCCAATTTCATTAGGTATTAATGCTCAGGGGCACACTGTTAGCTTGCTTGGTATTCACGCTCAGTTAAGGTATGTGAGAATAGTGGCCGTAATTAACCAAACTTCTGTGTTAATAAAGCACTTAGTGGAGACACCCTTAAAGGTGCCTTTGTGCATAAAAGACAAGGTTAAAAGATGTTATGTTATTTGTCATATTTAAGAAAGCCCTCTTTGTCTAAACACACAGTCTTTATTTACTTATGCTTCTGTTGTGCAATGGCTTATTAAGAATTCTCTAAAAGGCAAGCAAATCTTCCTTTTCTTTATTTAATTGAAATATCATTGACATACAACCTTATATTGGTTTCAGATTTAAAACACAGTGGTTCAACAGTTACCCATATTATTAAATCCTCATTCAAACTAGTGCAATTACTGTCAACTTAGAAACATGTTACAGAATCATTGGCTATATTCTCCATGCTGTATTACCATCCCCATGACCAACTTACATTATGACTGAAAATTTTTGTGCCCCTTTATCCCCATACCCTCCCCACCCATTGACCCCAGCCCCTCCCCCAAGGTAACCATTAATCATTTTTCAGTGTCTATGAGTCTACTGCTATTTCGTTCATTTTTTAAAGCAAATCTTTCTTAAACGTCTTAAGACAAGGTTCTTAAAAAGCAGACCAATGCTTAAATTATTATGGTTATTCCCTAAAGAGTGAAAGATGCAAAATGTGAACTAATAATTTTTATCTTACAGGGTCATACAAAAAATTCAAAATGTAAGCTTTCTTCTTTTAACATGTGGTTTATATACTAATAAATAATACAGAAAATGATACTAGAGGAATTTGTATATTATTTCCATGAATATCTGTCAGTCCTGAAGTGAGGAGGGGGTTATCTCCTAAGTGGGAGTGATAACAGTTTTTAAAGTTTCAACAGATATTCTTGATCTCAAATAGTACAAACAAGTGGGCCTCCTACTCAGCCCCCAGGCCAAGCAGGTGCACATTTGGAGTGCCTTCCTTGAAACTGTCTAAATTCACTTTGGGAACCTGAGAACAACAGGGCCATGATTTCTATCTGGATGGGGTGTCCTGAAATCACTGCAGCCCTGGTCTGCTCTCAGACCCTTCATCTCCCACGCAGCATAACTCCAGCATTCCGGAGAGTTCCAGGACTCAGGCCTGGGGTGTCACCCAGGGGCTGCCTGCCTAGCCCAGTTCCCAGAGGGCAGCTCTGCAAGCAGGTTACTAATGCTGACCAGCCAGGGATTTTTGGGGGGAATTGTTTGAGATTTGGTTGCCTGAATAATGTTAAATACTTTGCGGCGAGTAACTCAAAGTAACTATATCAAGAAACAATTTTATCTGGGTTCATATGTCTTAGATATACAGGGCAATGGAAAAAGGTAATCTAATTGTGATTGCATAAAAGATCTCAAAGGATGAAATCTTACTCTTCTTTCACAGGTACCATACTAACTGAAAGGGTACAGTTATATTTAAAATACATTTTCATCTCTGTTGTCTTTATGCATATGGTAGAATTTTTTAAAGAAATGCAATGGATCTTTAGGATATTATTTGAAATTAATAGATAAGCATATATCAAAAGAAAAATGTGAAATAGCATAGGCAAAAGATACAAACATTAAAATACAAACAGTAGTTTTCTCTGTACAGTAGGCTTGTGAGTGATTTTATTTTCTTCTTGCATAAATATACAAAACAGTATTTAAAAGTGTGAAATATTTCATGTTTCCTTTCTCTTCTCAATTCTAACCATAAGCACTGCATTTCCAGACAGGCTTGTGTTCTTCCACATGAACTTCCATTCCTATCAATCAAATTATGCTTCTTTGTAGATAGAACTAGGTTGGTACAAGGAGAGAAAAAGAGAATTAAGAGGACTTTTTTAAAAAATTAAACAAAGGCCTTATGAATTATGTTAAAAAATGTTCTAGGCCCTCAAAACCTAAATGGCAAAGAAAGATATTCTAGAGCACTGCTCCATTTAAGTGTTTTCCCAGGACTGAAATAGCTATCCAGGGGAAGAGTCACATTCCAAAGGTTTATTTTTCTTTTATCTTGAGAAAAGAAGTTGTCATGTTATAACATCACCCATCATTCTCTTTGAAAAAGACTGAAAACCAGTTTGCTTTAATAACAGCACTTGTATTTCTCAGCATGATTGAATGTTCAAAATAAATAAGTGATATGAAGACCTGAGAATCAATAGTAATATTTTTAAATCTATGAAATCTCTTTATTCATAGAAACATGGGCCTTGCTAATTATATTTTAAGGAGGATGAAGAAGGTGGCTTTACTATTCTTGCTAATAATGTGTCACATACATTGATTTTTTTTTCCATTCACTGATCCTATAGTCTGAGTATCTCTCTTTGTGTGGGTATCTCTTGATCTATTTTTCTGTCTCTGACTCTGCCCCTATATCTCTAACTTCTTTCTTTCTTAGCCAATCTTCCCTTGAAATACTGTAAGCTTTCTCTTTGACCTAAGTTAAAGCTAAATAATATCTCTGTAAATCTTTTCATCGAATCCATCAATTGTAATCATACAATCACAGCACCCTGAAGAATTAAGTTCAGTTTAAAAAGTGTTTACTCTAAGCCTGCTGTGTAGAAGGCCCCATGCCAGGCCCTTTGGGGGACAGCAGAGATGAGTAAGATAATATTTTTACCATAAAGGAATCTATAAATACATGGTAAAAGAAAAAATTTGTTCAAAATGTTTCAAGTAATATTTCAGAAATAAGCTAAATTTCTAATGAAAATATTTAAAACTGGGTAGAACCTTAACATAGTACTGTAGAAAACAAAAACACACACCAATTTTCTTTGGTATTTCCTCCCTGGCAAGGGGGATGGCTAAAGCATACGTACAGGGGTGTTCGGCAAGTATAGAATCGTACTCATCACAGGTGCGAATCCCATCAAAAGCATTTGTGACACATTCCCACCAGAGGCCTCGGCATTTTGTGCTCACCTAGATGTTGGAGAAGACACCGTGTGAAACAACTCATGCACACATACTTCGGTTCTCCTTGATCAAAGGAAGAACTTGGCTGTTGTGCTTGATAACAAAGTACAGTGGTTACAATTGTGATCAGAATTTCATTTACAACAAACACAGTGCATATTAGAGTATTTTCCCTTAATAACTAGCAATTAGAGGCTTTCCACACCAGGAAATGAATTTACTTTCTGATTTGGGGATGGGATGGAATAAGTCATGCCTAAAATGGATTAAATCAGAATTAAATAAATGCAGATGCCTATGACTGGTTCCATCATCAAGTCACAGTTTAACATGGACACAATTCATTGCAGTTCCCTGGGTTGACATTTACTCACCAAAAAAGCAAATAAATAAAATAAAATAAAATAACAATAACACCTATAACAACAGATGATAACTGTTGACATGGTGAGTCTATTAGGAATATACATTAATTTTTCTTCATCATAAACACTGAGTTCCATGAAGAAAGGTGTTATTATGCATGAGGTTCATAAATTAAAAATACTTACCAAAGAAAGCTATACATGAAGACAACAATAAATGAAATATAAAGACCCCTTGACTTCCTTGTCACTGCTGCACTGACAGGCTGCAAGTGCTTAAGCTATGAGATGGATATAAACACACTGAGCATTAATTTCATGAAATCTGGCAGCTGTAAACCACTTTTACTTAGAAATGCTGTGCCGATGATTCTCAGTGTCCACTTAGAGCTAAGTGGTACCAGTGCCCTGAGCCTCCCTATACTTTATCTATAAGCTGTAAATCACAATAGATTTCTTAGAATTGTAAACATGCCAACATAAAATAGTTTCAACTATTCTTGACAGAACTCATGAATATAGAACAGAGCTAATGTGATTGTGTTTTTTAATTCAATTACAGATTCACATTAGCTTGGAAATCTGGGAATAGTTTAAGATTATCTTGGATTTAACCACAAGAATCATCTTAGAGAATGAAAATGAATTTTTCCTTAAAGAAAGAATCAATAACAGAGCAGAGCGGGAAAAGAAATGGCCAAGGTAGGGAAACAGAGTTGGTGTGCAGAAGACATGAGGGAACATAAACGACTTTGATTTGCGTAAGAAAATCATATTAGGAATTACTTGCACTGTGGAACTCTGCCCCACATTCTGTTTTGGAGTTTGGAGCTGTGTTGTGTGCCAAAAAAAAACTCTACTACTTGAAACTCCACCACATTTTTGGATGTTAAACTTTTACTATTACTTTAAATGTGAAATGCTTGTAATTGGTAACAATTAATAATTCTAGATTGAATTTATACTATGAAGCAGTTACTAAGCAAGCATGTTATTATCTCATTTAGTCCTTAAAGGGTACTGTGAGATATTGTTATTATCATTAATCTCTATTTTACAAAGAAGGAAAATGAGGCCCCGGAAAGTTAAGTGATAACCATAAGAAAGCATAGATAATAAATGGAGGATCTAGGACTCAAACAGTATGCTTTTAAGCACTGCAGTACACTTAAAATTTTTTATATTTCCTAATCCATTTCAGGCTAGAGTACTCTACAACTGGAAATTAGAAGATAGTTTTGGGTGAAGTAGTAGGCCCAATTTTTAATCTCATCCTGTGGCTATTATTCTATGAAATGTCACTTTGGCTTGCTATCTAAGCTTAAATTTGGAAGCAATGTTTCAGAATTTTGGAATATTATCTGATCTGAGGGGATACAAAGACCAGACATTTAAGAAAGAAAATCCGTCTAGTAAAATTTAACACATCAATTTCAAAAAAAGAATATGAACATCTAGATTTACATATGTATGAAATTTAAGCTATAGTTGAAAATACATAGACTTTACATCTAAGTTGACACTCTTATCAGCTATGTTGTATCCTTGGGCAAGATCTCACTTATTTTTGAGCCTCAGTCTCCTTATTTGAATAAAGGAGATAATGCTAGGGTGGTTTATAAGAATTAAAAATCACAAACACACACAATATAAATAATTTCCTTAATTAGTGATAACATTAGTAAAGTACATAGATATCATAATAACCTGAATAGTGACTGTGTTCAGCATTACTGACTAAACATAATGAAAGTGGAGAAAGGCAGATATAATGGGTGAAATAGTGGCCCCCAAAAGATATGCTTACATCCTAATTCCCCAGAACTGTGAATGGAATTTTATTTGAAAAGAGGAACTACAGATGTAGTTAAGTAACTTGAGATAAGGGGATCATCTTAGAGTACCAACGGTGGCCCTAAACCCAATGACAAGTGTCTGTATGAGAGACACACAGAGGAGACACACAGACAGAAGAGAAGGCAGCAGTGTGACCACAGAAGCAGAGAGGGGAGTGAAGTGGCTGCAAGTCAAGGAATGCCCACAGCCAAGAGGTGAGGAATGGATTCTTCCCTAGAGTTTTTAGAGGCAGTGCAGCCCTGCTCACACCTTCATTTCAAACTTCTGGCCTCCAGAACTGTGAGATAATACATTTCTATTGTGGTAAGTCACCAAATTGTGGTAATTTGCTATGGCAGCCTTTGGAAGCGAGTAAGTAGAGGCGATTAGTACTCAACTATTACTGTAACAGAAAACAAGCCTTCTCATAGCCTATTGCCCTTCAGTCTCTCAATGAACACACTGGATCCAGTTTATTCCAACTTGAGCTAGGTTATATGAATTTGTAGTCACTGTTCTGTAATCAGACTCTGACTGTCTACAATTTTCTCCTGTTATTCGGTCACAACAGCAAACTCATGAACCCAGTACAGTCATTCTTACTACCTATGAGGTTATTCAGAAAGTGACTTGAGTTAAATTTGTGAGAATACTTATTTACACCAAAAAGAGTATTTCATTCTTGCCAAAATAATCCAGCAGTGGTGTCATTTTCAAGGCTATTGATCATTTACCTGCAATGACCATATTTAGAAAAGCAATGAGCTCATTAGAGGAAACAAGGAATCCAATTTCATTAGGTATTAATGCTCAGGGGCACACTGTTAGCTTGCTTGGTATTCACGCTCAGTTAAGGTATGTGAGAATAGTGGCCGTAATTAACCAAACTTCTGTGTTAATAAAGCACTTAGTGGAGACACCCTTAAAGGTGCCTTTGTGCATAAAAGACAAGGTTAAAAGATGTTATGTTATTTGTCATATTTAAGAAAGCCCTCTTTGTCTAAACACACAGTCTTTATTTACTTATGCTTCTGTTGTGCAATGGCTTATTAAGAATTCTCTAAAAGGCAAGCAAATCTTCCTTTTCTTTATTTAATTGAAATATCATTGACATACAACCTTATATTGGTTTCAGATTTAAAACACAGTGGTTCAACAGTTACCCATATTATTAAATCCTCATTCAAACTAGTGCAATTACTGTCAACTTAGAAACATGTTACAGAATCATTGGCTATATTCTCCATGCTGTATTACCATCCCCATGACCAACTTACATTATGACTGAAAATTTTTGTGCCCCTTTATCCCCATACCCTCCCCACCCATTGACCCCAGCCCCTCCCCCAAGGTAACCATTAATCATTTTTCAGTGTCTATGAGTCTACTGCTATTTCGTTCATTTTTTAAAGCAAATCTTTCTTAAACGTCTTAAGACAAGGTTCTTAAAAAGCAGACCAATGCTTAAATTATTATGGTTATTCCCTAAAGAGTGAAAGATGCAAAATGTGAACTAATAATTTTTATCTTACAGGGTCATGCAAAAAATTCAAAATGTAAGCTTTCTTCTTTTAACATGTGGTTTATATACTAATAAATAATACAGAAAATGATACTAGAGGAATTTGTATATTATTTCCATGAATATCTGTCAGTCCTGAAGTGAGGAGGGGGTTATCTCCTAAGTGGGGAGAAGTCAGTTTACCCAGGTGTGACAATAAAAGTACAAGTCACAAACATGAGTCCAACATAAATCTTTTAATATTAGTTGCCAATAGGGAAACCTACAAATTTTACAGAAGAGTACAGCTTTCTGGCTTCCTTTGACACTTGCTCAGTCTGGCCATCTGGATGGACTCCACATAGCAAAAAACCAGCACAAGCTGAATGGTTGCTCCAGTTTAAGTGGGACTTAGGCTCACAGGTTCCTCACCATTCCTACCCCATCTGCCTCTTTCATGGATGCTGACTATCTAGTTCTTATAGGCATTTGAGTTTTCGCTTCTTGGTATGTACTACCGAGAATAAATACCCTTGCTCTCAATTTGTCAAGTTTCTACCTATCATTCGAATCCCACTTCAAAGATATCCCTTCTTCCATGAAGTTCTCCCTGCCTCTCCAGCCAGAGTTCATTCTTTTCTAGATCCCACAACCTGTCCCTATTTCTATGATATTTACAGTATTGTGGGGTTTTTTTTAACAAGCGTATATGTACATCTGACTCCCAAGTCTGCCTGTTGTCACCTTTCAAATTTATATTCATTGAAGGTCTCTCATGTGTCAGTCAACAAGCTAACTAAATGCTGGGGATACAGCAATGACTCAGACAGGTATGGCACCTTTCTTCAAGGACCTTATAGACCCTTCTTCTTGACACATAGCAGATGCTCAAAAGATGTTTATTGAGGGAAAAAACAATCTGAAAATTTTTTGAATGCATACACACAAACTCTCATTTGACCTTTGGCATAGATAATGGTTATTGGTACACTCTATGCACAATTGATGCTTACTATGTGCCTATGACTTGACTGGATAGACTTGACTGGATAGAACAGCTGAATCCAGGAGTCAAAGAACTATTATTTAGTCTAGAGAATTTATACTGATTTGGTGTCAGCCCGGGCCCTTATCTATTCAAATGGCTCTGTAAAGTGCTGACCACAGTTCTCAGGCTGAGCAGGATGTCACTTAAAAAAAGCTTTAGGAAACCATACTGATAGTGCTCTTCCCTGTAGCGTTTATAGTAACACAAATTAGCTCCTTAAGCCTGGGATATCTTATTCTGAGCTCTTCAAAAGTCT